CTTGTTCAATGAATTTTGCATCCTGACCCAACTAATGTCAGTAGAAGCACCACGCATCAGCTGCTTTACAATTAAATTAATTAAACACATAATTAGATATTTTTGTAATTCTAAAATTCCATTTACTGATGAGTCAAAGTCCAAAGTAGTTAAAGTAGAGAAGAATAAAGGATGGAGCAATGGAGAGATATTTTTAATGCAGAGAAGGAGATGATAATGAAAAATGATAGAAAATGGAGAAGGACTGGAAAAGTTGGAAGATGAAGTAGAAGAGGAAAAAACAGAAAAATTGCAGCTTTTGAGCGTTGGAAGAGATGGGAGAGAGAGAAAGTGATAAGACAGAAGAAGAAGAAGAAGAAGAAGAAGTTGATTTGAGGTGTGATGTGAACAATTTTAAAACACATCAGCCATTCAATTTTAATAAACAATGCCACACCATCAAAATATAAAATACAGCTCAGCTAAACTTAACGCTGTCTGAGAGCACTTGACGGTTAGGGTAAAATTGGCTCATTTTTACAAAAAATATGACCCAATTGAGACCGAAAAAAAAAACGATGACCCATTTGAGATTCCCATATAAATACGAGGACCATCCGAGGGTTTAAACCTTTTTTTTTAAGTCTTCTCATCAAGGATGTTTCCATCAAAATTCTTAGTAAATTTTTTTAATTTTTTTAGTTTTGTTTGAAGTCGGTCGGTGATTGAAATACTTAACCATATTAATTATGTTATAAATTTAAAAAAAGAAGCAAAAAAGAGTAAAAGATGTCTAAAATTAATCATCTCAATCATTAATGGAAATTAAATAAACCTAATGTAATAGAATTAAGAATGTTGTATTAAGACCTTTTTACCACTTCGATAATGAATTCTTGACAAAGTTATAAGTCAAATTCTTGATAATAACCATGGATTATTTAGGAAAGAGGTTGAACTTTTGATAATTATATTAATTCAACAAATACAAAACTTGGTTTGAAAAGTATGCCCCAAGCATTTATATTTGGCGAGAATTGCATATGGAATCCTTAAACTTAATAACTGGTTCTTTGAGTATTTTGATTATTGAAGAAATTAATGTGATTATATGTTATGAACTATCCATTCTTTAATTGTTCTCGAAAGTTGAAACAATTGTATATCCTATTCAAGTTCCTAAGGAGAGAACTATGTTTAAGCTTTAAGTCATGTAATCATAGGACCTATCAAAACTGAGTTAAGTAACTCCTGTTATATTGTACAATCGTAGAAGCTTAAGTAGTATTCATCAATTTTTATTTAGGAAGAATTATGTACAGAGAACCGAAGATCATCTTTAAAACAAAATATTTCCTCCTGACGTGGACAAAATCCATAACTTAATAAGGTCACGGTCTTATGTGATAAATCATAATTCTTCCTACTATACATATAGTAGTTAACATTTTTATTAAAGAAGAAAGAGTTGTTCATCATGAGAATTTTGCTTCAGCCTTCAATTTTATTTCTTTTACATATTTTACTCCGAAATCTCATTTGTAACTTATCTTATTGGCATCCAATGTGTATATTTATGATATTCACCTGGGACGTCAAATGAACTAATTTTGTTAACATTTTGAATTATTATAATTCAGATAGTAAAATGTACACAAAAATGTACTGGAAAGATGGATAAGTGAAATAAAATAAAACCAATGTATAAAACAAATTAATAAAAATATGCTGAAATATTATATTCATTAGATAAAATCTAAACCAAAAATTCAAGGTTGGGTAGTCAACACTGCACAGTACCTCTTTTGAACTTGTCAATGATAGATCAATTTGCCTCTCTTTTAAACTTGACAAATGTTGGGTTGATTTAAATTTTAAATAATAAATATTTTAACATGTTCATTATGGTAAATAAGATTATATATAAATTTTATTTATGGTAAAAGAATATTTCAACTTAATTTTAGGGATACGTTCATTAGATATAATTTTTTTCTTGAAATATATTCAATGTCAAAGATACACGTTAACATGTTCTAAAATTTAAGTTTATTTATATCAGTAATATGTTATATTGTAATTAGTTTAAATGTCGTACTAAAGAAAAGTAATCTGTATAGAAGTACATACAACGGATCAGTTCAATTAATCTGTATTTATAGAACTAAACTAAGCCAATAATTATATGCATATTTGAGATTGAATTTTATAAATTCAGCTCAATAGCAGTTGAACTTCAATACAATTGTTATTAAAACTATCTTATTTATGTTATTAGTTTACTTGGATGAAAATCCCTCAGTGATAAAAGCCTATACCTTAAAATATAAACGGTAATCTTTAATTTTTTTAATATAAGATTTACATGAAGAGGTAGTGATATAAGAATAACCAAGCACCAAATATTATTCCTCATAGGAAATCCTGAAGTTGTTCAACCTTAGGTATATAGTTTTCAAATTATTTTTCAATGCAATGAAACTTAAAATAAACAGAAATAATCAAGACATGCAAACATGAAGCAAAAACAGGTAGAATATAAGATAATAAAAAGAATTATCTATTGAAATTAAATATAAAAAAAACTACATAGAATCAAGGTTTGTTATATTTAATCACAATGAATAGGAGACTAGCTACTTCAAAATATTTGAAAAAAATGAATAAAAAATATAAAGCTTGACGTTGAAAGTTCATTTAATGCTCTCCAAAGGCTTTTTCGTCTTAGAAAATTTTCCTCTGTATCATATGTATACAAATTAGTTTCTTTCATTGAATTTGAAGTCTCTTTGGGTAAAAATGACAAGGTAAGTTTGAAGTTTTTGAGGAATTTTGCTCAATCACATCAACATCTTGCAATCCAAAAGTTGAAGTTCTCTGTTTTACGTGTTCAATTGAATAAGCGAGACCTCCTACAAATGACTTCTTTCTTCTTAAGTTCTCAAGCTTCTATATTTTATTAAAAACCTGGAAATATTACTAATAGTTCATTTAACTGTGAACATATATATAGTATAAAAATTAAAAAAAAAACTAATAGTACTTCATCGGATAAATATGATTATATATATATATATATATATATATATATATATATATATATATATATTAAAAGTACGATAATATAAGTAATGAGTGCGCTTATCACATGTCAATTAACATACAAAACATTATTCAAAATATGTATATAAACTATGACAACTGAACAAAAGTAAATTTTGTATGAGAAATAAAAAAATGGACAAAGTTATTGGAGACCAAAAGCAAGAAACAATATATGATTTAATCATATTAATTATTAATGTATGACTTAATAAACATGTTACCACTTAACAAATGCAGACAAATGATAAAGATTAAACAAAAATAAAAAAATCATCGAGAGCTAGAACGGGAAATTCCTTTATTGAAGGGTCAAAGTAAAATATTTTCATTTATATTATAATTTAATCTCCTTATTCTCATAACTATTTTAAGCCCCACGATCATTTATTACTTGAAGGTGAGAGGTTGTGTACATTAATGAAGGGGTATTCAAATCTTCCTATCCTCAAGAATATCTTAAACTAAACATATTTCAACCGAATGAATTTAGAAATGCTTAGATATATATTTGACCATTAGCCATAAAATCCAAACGTGTTTTTGCATGACAACTAAGGCTTCATAAAAAAGATCACCTAAAAGATGAAATAAGTCTATGTCGTGGCCACCAAAATATAGAAGAAAAAACGCATGTCAGTGTCTTTATTTATACAACAACTGAATGAATAATAAATCACTTATAAATAAAATCTTTAACAAAAGAAGAAAATAAACAAATACTTATGTTCTTGTAAGAGTTTCTAACCTTAGTATAAAAGCTCTTCCGGAAACAATATTATATTTCATTTTTTAAGATATTTACATCATGTTGTATATATTATCGTCTGCATATCAAATAAGTGATTTATTTATTTATTTATTTATTTATTTTACTAAGAAACCTAAAGGTATCTCACATTGTATTTTTTTTATATATTTTATTTTCTAAACCAAACAAAAATTTAACTAAACAAATGGAAAAACTTAAGATAAACACGAAAGGAAAAATTGTAATAATAAACTTGTGGGTAGCTTTCAATTAATTATAAAAATTCAGACGCTCTAGAAGTAAAGATAGATTTCAGCAACAAAGCACATGACGTGGTTTTGGTTTTTGTTGTTGTATCTTTCTATTTCACACAAAGAAAACAATACAAAAACATACTCGTCAACAGCTCATTCAATTGCACTTATCGTGACGTTCTAGATTGCAACTTTCAAGTGCATCTCTGCAGATTATGCAGACCATCTTTCGGTCGCTACGGACAAAATCGATTCCAATTAACAAGGACAATTTTTTCTTCTTTTTTTTACAGGTCATTTATACATTATGAACTTTCAAATGTTTTCTGTAGCTGATTACCTCTCACATTTTGAAGAAAGAAAGTATCAGATAAATGAAAAGACTATTCATTGTAGTTGTATGTTTGTGTAGTTACGTTATCTCAAACTTCACACACGCATAAGAAAAAGAGACGATAAGCTATTATTTTTCATAAATTTCGGTGGGGTTGTTAATCCTAATTATGGTGGAAAGTTGTCTCCAAATTGATGACATGGGATTTTCAATGAAGTTGGATTTGACAGAAAGAACAACTTTTATATAATCTTTCATTGGTTCTACTTCTTCTACTGTAGACTCTGCCTTGCCTCAACAATGGTAGAAAATTATCAGTAAACCCATTTCTGTGACTAAAAACAGTACATGATATACAAATGTAACAAAAACCCTCAGAAAATAACAAACAGAAAAGGTATTTAGGACACCCCAATTAAAAAATTTATGATAAACAGATATTAGATATACAAAAAAAGCAGAACTTGATCAACTACTGAGTAATAAAATCCCAACACTTGCACACAGCAATCGAAAAACTAAAAGAAATACACGACGAGCACTGTATCAGACTGAAGCATAGAGATTTGGAACAAAAGAAAACCACTTGAAACCACAGCTACATTTGAGAGGCAAAGAGGGGCACCTGGGAAGCCAATGCCAAGTCCTCCTTGAAACCAAGTAATACAAGATCTCTGGCCAAGTGTAGCAGCAAATGCAGATCATCCCTTCATGCCAGAAGCAATAAACATGTTCATAGTTATGGTAGCACACAGCCACAAACTTCTTGCACATAAGATCAGGCAAACTTTGCACTTCCACCCAATTCCCATCTCCACCCAATTCCCACAACTTGATGCTCCTCGAGATTCCGTTGTTCCCAACCCCACCAACCAAATACAATTTACCCTCTCCGTCACTCACCAATCGAACAAAAGTGAGCTGACTCGGTAACCCCCCAATGGGTTTTTCCCACCTTCCACTCCCCAAATCAAATATCACCACAGAAAACGGTTCCGGGGTAGCAAAATATAAACCCCCTTTGAAAAGAACACCTTTTTGGTGATGATTGTCGCCGAGAACCGGACCAAAACCGTCAAACCGTTTCCAAGTTCGAACATTTGAGTCATAAACAAAGGCACAGTTTGTAGCAGCCTCTGAGCAGAGAACAAATATGGTGTACCCTGTGGGTGTTGTGACAAAAGTGAGATGCTCCAAGTGAAGAGACAAACTTGGGTACTGAATCTTTCTAGAAGACTTGGCCAGAAGGTTGCACACTATCAAGGAGCATGATAGCGAATCAGATAGGCAGAAGAGACCACCCGAGGAGACAAGCGTGGTGAGGGAAGGGAAACATTGCAGTGAAGAATCAGAGAGCGAGAGAGAGATGTTGCGCCACGTGCCGAGTGTGCAATCATAGAGAGGGAAGTGGCGGTGGAATTGAGGGTGTGAGAGTAAGAGAAAGGAAGAGAAGGGTGAAGAAGAAGATGAAGAAGAAGAAGAAGAAGAAGAGGAAGAAGGAGAAGAGTGTTTGGAAACGAAGGAGGGAGAGAATATGAGAGGCCAGAAACCTTTGCAAGTGGATCTGAGATTCAAGAAGGTTTTGAGAGGAAGAAAGGAGAGGATGTATTCAAGGATTTCAGGTGGCAATTTGCTCCAAATTTTGGGATCCATTGGAGGTGCTGATGACCTTGGAGTGGCAGGGGAATGGGACATGATCATGTGTGTGTTCCTCTTCATCGGAGTTTACGAGATGTTGTGAACTTGGTATGTTTGGTTTTCATGGAATTTTTCAGCTGAAAACAAAGGTTGAAAAAGCTTTGGAAATTGGAATTGACTCAATTTTTTATTTTAGGTTGCAGAAGGCTGAAGTTCTGCATCCTTTGCCCATAGAAAGTGACTACAAAACTGAACATTGACAGAAACGAGAAGCAATAAAGCATTGACTTGACTGGCTTGTGTTTAGAACATGGAACAAGAAAATGGAAAAGTGCCTAATTATATTCTTTATTTTCTAAGAGATTTTACAGTTGATGGAAGAATCACGAATACCCATAAATAATATTTATACTCATCAACAACATTCCCTTCTGTTGCGCAACTTCGTCATTTATTGCTTCAATGAGTATGCTTTTTTTCATATCAAAATTTTTATACATGTAATCCTCCATTTATTCCAGTTCACTTTTTGAACTAAAAGTTGCTTTTGTTTTCAAAATTTTAAAAAACATTAATTGCACTTCTACTTAATGTATATTTATCTTGCATCTCATTTTTAATTAATTTATATATATAGCATAAAAATAACAAAAAATGTACCTTCGTTATATAATAGAATTAAATATTTTTTTATTAAGAAATATATTTTAAACTATTATAATTTAATTTTTAATAGAATTAAACTTATTTTAAACTATTATAATTTAATAGAATCATAAGTAGTTTATTGTTGTAGCTCTTTGAATTGATAGAGTACGTCCTAATTGATACAAGAACAAATATCACTACAATTGAAAGCATCAGTACTAAGCATAGCTAAAAATGATGATTCATTATTTATAATTTGTTGAATTGAATAATTACTACTTGAATGAATGTTATAACTAACAATCAAACAACAATCATTTTTACTGAAGAATGTAATTACTCAAACGTCACAATTCAATTATAACTTAAGCCATATTGCTTTTGTTTGTCATTAATATAACCAACAATATATTTGCTTTTACTTTACATGACTTATATTTATTATCTTTATTAAGATATATGTAAGTTATTTTTATCTTTATATTGGAATGAATTATTTAGTGTTGGATACAAAGACCAACAATGTCGGAGACATTGAGCACAAAAAGTGTAGTACTCCCTTTTTCAAAATAGTATTTCATACGTAAAATGATATCTTCAGGATTCAAACTTTGGACCACTTGGTTAAGAACATAAGATAATTACATTAATATAACTAAGATTTTTTCGAATTATATTTATATTTGTACAGTATAACCGATAATTATTAATCAATAAACAGTGATTCGTGATAAAAAAGATAAGTTACACATTAATTATTATTTATTATCTTACAATTTGTAAGAGCATGTATGTAAGAGCAACTGACTCCTTAAACAATACTTTTATTTTTGTTTTTTTATTCTCACTTTTACATTAACAATTCTTACCTTCATTCCTTACAAGAGAGCTTATATTGTTTTCCAAAAATTTAAGAAGCCCATATGTAATATAAAAAACTATAATTTTTATATTTTTAAAACTAAAAGACAATTTAAAAAATATATAAATGTAATTCCCAAAAAATTTCACATAATCTACTCTAACTAAAATACTTAGACTGATAAATAATGTATAATAATTGTGCCATTTTAGTCAATTGCAAATACTTTTCTAAACCATACATTTGTATGCATTAATAATCAATCTTATATAAGTCAAATAATTTATGGATTAAGGAGAAAAAAGAAACAATTAGAAATGCAATTAGTCAAGAGCATATTTAAAACTGAAAAAAGAAATGTGAAAAAAAAATATATTTCTAATGCTAACTATTCCAAGAAAAAAGTACTAGCTGTGTTATAGAGATTTAATTGTATTTAGTGCGTTTAGTTATAGCAATTTGCTATTTTATTCTTCGTGCTCACTTCTATTAATTGAATCTTCAAACGATCATAAATAAATACATGTGATTTTAACCTTTTTCATTTTAATTTCTTTAGGCTTACAAAGACATTATAAGTCAACAATAAATTATAATTAACAGTAAAGCTAAATAAGACCGTTATAATATATGAAGATGAAAACAAAATTAACATATAAAAAATAATCAAATATGCATATTTTTCCACACATGTCTTTTTTAAAGGAAAAAGTTTCATTAACACTTAATCTCTTCCTATTTAACACCTAATAAAAAAACCTTCACTCTATTTAGTTGGGTTGAAAAGTTACCTATAGAGAAGGTGATTTACCGTTGAAGTCAACAAAAATTCAGCGCAATAAATATGTGTTAAATGTAACAAATCTATTAAAATACCTATTTATAAATTTCGAAATGAATTTAAGATTAACACTAATCTAATTATGGTATAACTGTTAATTTGACCTAACTAACTGAGTTTTATTTCAACTCGATATATTTTTCTCTTTTTATTTCTGACATGGTCATGACACATTGTTCTGTCTACTTCCTCATATAGCATATTAGCTCTAATATTAATTTTAAGAAACACTTTTAAAAAATATATGTATTAATCAATTTTAAATTTTCTCTTTTTAAATCACAAACATACTTTATTCTTGAACTTTTTTGGGTGCTGTGCTAGGTAATCAACCACTCGTACTAAAGTGATATCCTTAGAATTTTTGCAATATAAAATGGAATATATATTTAACGTTGTATATGTTTGAGCTTTCGGTAGATTCCATGCATGAAATATAGTAATTCTATACACAAAATTTTGTACGTGCTCCAATAACAAAGAATGGACAATATACTAATTTAACAAAGCTCACACTTTTTAACAGTGGAAAGTATGAAAGGAGTAGAAAAGATAATTGAAAGAATATTGAAAAAGTCAATATTCTTTACTAAGAAAAATTGTATGTTGCATTAGGTAATCAAACCGACATCCCAAGACTTCGAAATTTGAACGGAATATGTTAAAGTTGTATGTCTAAGCTTTCGGTAGAAGTTAACATGAAATTAAACCTTTTCAATTTCTCATTACAAGAAATGAGTTATTCTGTGATTAATGTAACTGAAATAATTTAGTCTAATAATCTTAGTAGCTAAATTTTGATAGTTAAATTGATAGCTAAATAAATGAAAACAAAAATACTGTCTTTTAGGATTGAATTAGTGATAAAAAAATTATTTTAACGACCGAAAAGTTTTCGGTAACACGAAACTTTTGTTATTTTTTACAGCTGAAATAATATAAAAGTAATTATTTTAGCAATCGAAATTAACATGAAATTGAGCTTCGTATTTAAAAAGATTAAATATATTTATAATTATTAAATTTCGAGAAAATTAGAATTTGTTTTATTTTAAACTTCAATATTGAAATTTAAAAGATAATAGATATAATTCTTTTAGCCGTTAATTTTTTTTACACATTAAACAATTTTTTATATTGATATTTAAGTTACAACGTCTCAAATGATAAATGATATATATAATTTAAACGTGATTAAAACGTTGTTTAACGGATAAAAAAAGTATACAATAAAATATAATTGAGATTGTTATATTTATTTATTTTTAAAGTTTATGAATGAAAATATATTGAATAAATTTTAATTTCACATCAAAATTTAAAGATTAAAAATATATTTTATTATATTTAAAAGTAGTATAGACTAATTATTTCATAGTAAACTCTAATGGTGATTAGTTGTTGAAGTTCAAATCTCTGAATTTCAACGTAATCTTTGGGGTTTTATTTGCAAGGCATCTTTTTGGTGACAGTTCATTGAATACAAAAGGTAAAATCAACTTGATGGTAAGAAGATACTGATTCTCCATTGGAATGGAAGCCTTTAACTACAGACTTTTCTTTCATCTTCAACATAACCAAACTTATAACTCATTCAGCAAGGAAGACACAGAAAACTAAAGAAGGAGAAAAATCAGATTGATTATTATATGCAGAAGATGGAGGGCATGATGAAAAGATGGTCCTTCAAGAGGCTGAGAAAGGAATCAATGAGGAAGATGAAGCTTCTGATGTCTGCATTCAAGTTGAAGAAGCTTTATTTGCCACTCTCCTTCATGGACTGCGTCATTTTTAAGATTGTTTTTGCGTTTGAGACTCTTATGTTGCTCTTCATGCTTTCTTCTTTCTACCTCTGTTGCGGCTGCACCTTCTAGTATATTGTTCCGTCAATCACCATACAAGCATTTTTTTTTTAATACTTCTTGGTTAGATTCTCCCTCAATGTAAAAAATACAGAGAATTGTACCAGCTTGAGTTGTAAACTACGCCTAATACATAGTAACTACATGCAATGATATTAACTTTTTTCTGTAATAAGTGTTGAACAATAATTAATGGTTAGCTTCATGCAATGATGAAATCTAGTCATAATTATTAAAACATGTTTACAAAATCATAAAATCTGTAATCATTTATAGATTATACTTTAGTCTATATGAGATTTCTAATAATAGTTTGAATTATTATCACTTGGAAGTTGGTTCAAATGTCAGCAAAGAAAGTAGACAAACAGGTTTGCTTAGAGTGAGATCATAATAAGTTGATCGTACGGTGGAACTCGAAGAGCCATGGATGCAAGTGAGCAAGTTTCTTAGTCTGTGCATGTAAAGTAGGATTGTGAGAGAGAAGCACAACACTAAAATGATGACATAGTAGCATATGGTAGAATAGGGAACTTAGTGAGCAAAATTGGATCCACTTCACTTGTTAAATGGTGGTGGTCATGTTAAGGTAATTTTGGAGTGAGTTGTAATTTATATAATGATATACTATTGGATCATTTCTTCTGGTGTAATTTTTAATTATACAATTTTATCTTTTAATAAATAAAAATAGTTTATTTATTTAATAAAAAAATGATTTTTTTAAATAACTATAACATGTTTCTTTTAACATCATTCTTTCAAAGTTGTATGTATTTTTAACTTATTTTGTTTTAATAATTTTCCTACAATATGATATATATTTTTGAATTTATACTATTTTGATAAAAATAAAAATATAAATACATATCTATGGAAGTGCATATGTTATCGTAGTTTCACTAACTTCTTTGACATCAATTTAGAATGCTATATTTTAGGATGATATCTTCACATTCCATGATAAATAAAAAATCATTCAACAGCTAATTATATTGTAATTATATATTTTTTAAATTAAATTATTAATATGTGATATTTTTAAAATAAAATTGTCAAGTAGATGTTAATTTACAGGGTGTAAAAATTCTCTTTTCTTTTTTTCCCTTTTTACTTTTTAGATTGTTA